ATCTACAACAACTTGTAGATGAGCCGTTATAGAAACTTTTAAAATTATTTCTACAGCTTCTGCTTGCTTTTAAAATATTGGTAGTTGTTTTTAGCAGAATTATATTGCAATAATTTCACATATAAGAACCAATTTAATTAAAAAAAACTTTTATCAAATTGCAGAATTTTGCAGGTGTAAGTAAGGGTAATGTGAAGCTTCTGAAGAGAAATGAAGTTCCAAATACACAAATAGAACAAAAACCTGCAGTTCATGATCCCAGTATAATTGCAAAGGTAGGAAATGGCTATCTAAATAGAAACATATATTTGATTATAAACTGGAAAGAAAACAGTTTGACTAATCTGTAATGCAAAGGTGTAGAATCTGCCACCCTCCAGTTGTTGTCGGATAACAATTCCAATCTACCTTCAGAATTGGCCATGCTGATTCGGGCTGATGAAAATTCAAGTCCATCAACATCTGGGAACTACAGATTCCTATTCCTGCCAAAGTAGTTAACTAAATACTGCATTTAAGTTTGTTAGTGGCTGTATTGCTCTGTAAAATTGCATTTATGTTGATAACAGCATCTTTAGGAAAGCTCTAAACATGAAGTAATACTGGTCTCTGTTTCCCTTTCTTAAATATAAATCAGAAGATAACTTGATTGCCCATGAAATTGCTGCCTTTCATGATTGCTGATTGGAATATTAATTTGACAGAATTGTTGAAATAATAAATGACACAAAATTTAGAAATTGCTTTCATGAACATTATATGTTTATCATGCTATATTTATTAATTGAGTTAGCTGCCCACTTAGCACAGGACTCAGGATGGTGTACATAATTAATAACAACAACAACAACTCCTCAATAAAAACAGCACAATGAAGCAATAATAAAAAAACCCATAACTCCAAAATAAAAACACATAAAGTGCCAGGAAAACTCATTCAATGAGTCATGCTGCTTCCAGACCCAGTGCCTGAAGGAAAAACCAAGTGTTACTGCCTTTTGAAAAGTAGGCAAGGTTGGGGCCAGCCGAATCTCTCAGAGGATGCTGTTTCTTATACCACATCTTACATTGCTTTTGTTTGGTAATTTTCTTTCTGATGTTCTTATCAACTCCATCCAAACATGACTTTGTTGGCCTTTTCCTTCCCCTCAACCCATTCACCCTTCATTTGCTTTGTTATTTGATTCTCATTGATTCTCTCTTTATGATCAAACATCTGATATTTGGTTATAAACATCATCAAACTGCTTGATCTCATTGTAGGGGTAGTTGTGGATTCACTCAGACTGTTAGTACTGGATGATTTCAACATCACCTCTTTGGGATTGGAGGTAGCTTGAGAGTTCATGGCTGCTATGACAACCATGGACTTGTCCCAGGTCATCACTGTCCCAACTCATGTGGCTGACCACTGTTTAGGTTTGGTGTTCACCTTGAACCAGATCTAAACAGTTCTAGTTTTGGAGGACTTTTCCATCAATCTGTTAGTCGTAGGCAGATCAGTTCTTCATGGCAGTGAGGTTAACTGGGGCTACCAACCTTTGAAAGAAGGAGGGGTTTACTGAGATGCCCAGCTGTTTGATGGATCCAGCAGGCCATCTGATGACACTTGAGTAGTTTCCCAGTGATCTGGAGGAATCTTACTGATCTCTGGAATATAGAGGCAACCTGGGTGCCAGTGATCCTCTGTCATTTCTTGCACTGAGGAACTCCAGGAAATGAAATGGGTGAAGAGCTGCCTGAAGTGGCACTGGGAGAAAACAAGAAGCAAATATAACCAGTCATGAATAAGAGCCCAGATGCATGTCCACCCTGTGGCAGTAAGAGTGGCAAAATGTAATTATTTCTCTATTCTTATTGCTTCCACAGAATGTTGGCTAGCTGCACTATTCAAAATATCTCAGACTGTAATGGTATGTGGGAATGACCTTGGGAGACAGGAGGAAGAGCCACAGCCTAGAAAATGGTCTGATAAATGAAATCTGAGTCTGAAAGAGGGGCAGGGGCACTCCCTAGTTTTCGAAGAGTAAAGTAAGGGAGGGGAGAGGTACTTTCAGACATGCAAGATTCTGTTACTGGAACCTTACAGTAAAGGTAGTATCGGTACTTGTGGTTGGTGCTTCTTCTCTTGACTACTAAAAGGGCTAACATAGACCCTTTAGGGAAGAGCTTCAAAATCCAATCATTGTAAGTTACGATCACCTGGCTGAGCATTTTGTGTATAAAATTGCTCATGTTTGATCTGAGTTTAAGGATGAACACAGTCTATTGAGATCACATTTTATGGTGTTATCTGGCAGACGTTTGAGCCTATGAATCCTGAGGAAGTGGTCAGTGTCCATTGTGATTATAGCTCTATCATTTGTAGATTAGATGCCTGCCCCTCATGGCTAATAAAAGCAGCCAGGGAGGGGACTCGGAGCTAGATCCAACCTATGGTCAACACTTCTTTGAGGGAAGGGAGATACCAGAGATCTTTAACAAGCCCACTCCTCAAGAGATCAGGTCTTGCGCCAACAAAACTGGACAACTACCATCTCTAAGCTTCCCTTTTTTGAGAAGGTGGTGGAGCTTAGTTGCAGAGGTATCTAGAGGATATGGATTATCTGGGCCCATGTTTGGACCTGGACATGGGACAGAAACTGTATTGGCTCTTAAAAGTTCCCTGCGAAGGGTCTTGGATGGAGCTGCTGCATCCAGACTTCTCTTCTGAGAGCTCTCTGCAGCCTTCAGTACTTTTAGCGTGGAGTTCATAATCCAATGTCTAGATATTGTCAGAGTTGAGGAAAAACAGGCTAGACTCACGTGAAACAAGTTGGAGTAGCTATTGATTCAGAAGCCATCTGATTCCAGGATTACATCATCTTTGACTCTTTGGGTTGTGCTTCCCCAGAAGGAGCAGGCTTGCAATTTGAAGGTCTTCTTGACTAACAGCTCTTGCTTGAAGAGCAAGTAGAGGCTGTGGCCAAGAGGGCTTTGCACAGCTCTGGCTGGTGCACCAGTTACAGCCTTGGAACCTGGAACAGGATGCACTGAAGATGGTCTCTCATGCCATCTCTGGATATGAGGACTCTAACTTATTCTACATGGGGTTGCCCTTGAAGATCACCCCAAATGTTCAGCTGGTCCAAAGTGCAGTGCCATGCATGTTCAGTGGACAGTCACAATATTATAGCTGGTTGCTACCTTTACATTCCTAT